GCATACTTTGAATCAGTATAAATGGCAGCAGACTGTCCGGACGCTAAAAGGCAAGCACGAATTAAAGCGATGAGCTCAGCAGCCTGAGCTGATTTTGGTTCCTGGAAGAGACAAGGCCTCTAAAACATTATTATCTGAGACCACTGCATATCCAGCCTTTAGTTTACCAACTGAATTTCTTTTATATGAGCCATCAGTATACAATACAAGATTTGCATTTTCCAGCTGTTGATCAGACAAATCTTTGGGGAGGTTTTACACAGTGTTCAAGCAATTCTTCACAGTTATGGGTATGTGCTTTACCATTAGAGGGTAAAGGAGAAAAAGTAGCTGGGTTAAGTACATTACATCTTTGAATTACCACATTTGGGGAAGAGAGGATAACATTCTCATACAGGGTTTGTCTCTGAACAGATAGGTGCTGGGTACGGTATCACTGTAAGAGAGCAGAGACAGCATGAGGGACCTGTAAGATAATGCTGTGGCCTAATGTGACAGGTTGGGCCTTTTTCAAGTAATTCAGCAGCAGCTGCAACAGCCTTCAGACAAAGTGGGAACCCACGGGCTACTGAGTCCAGTGTTGCAGAAAAATAAGCTACTGGACGAGGTGTGTGTCCAAGGGGTTGACAGAGAGCTCCAGCTGCAATTCCATCCTGTTCATGACAAAACAGAGTAAAAGGCTTGCTATATTTAGGTAAGCCCACTGTGCAGAAGAGTTTTAAGGGAAAGGAAAGCAGATTCACATTCTGGGGACCAGGTCACTGGGTCAGGAGCTAAGATTAAGAGTAGAATAGTAAGGGGCCTGGTGAGTCCAGAAAAGTTAGGAATCCATTGTCTGCAATATCCTGCAGTACCCAGAAATTTGTATACCTGACTTTGGTGAAAGGGTGAGGAATGAAAAAAACTTGAGATTCGCTCAGGTGTTAACTGGCGGCCATCTCCTAAAAGTAAATGTTCCAAGTACTGAACTCTTTGTTTTACAAATTGCAATTTGGCTTTGGAAGCCTTGTGACCCTTATTAGCAAGACACTTTAACACATAGGAGGTATCAGTTTTACATCTTTCCTCAGTTTCACTAGCAATTAACACATCATCAACATACTGAACTGCAGGGAAGAGAGAGAGAGTTAAGGTCAGCTTTTTAAAAACTGAGAAAACAGAGTAGGGCTTTTACAATAACTTTACAAAAACATGTCCAGGTTAATTGATGACCCTGAAAGGAAAAGGCAAAGAGAAATTGGGAATTCTTATGCACTGGAATAGAAAAGAAGGCAGAACATAAATCTATTACAGAAAACCAGGTTAGGTACTACTGGAAATCTAGGGATTACAAACTTATTAATGGCTCTTACCTCTTGTACAAATCTATAGATTTGCTTACCCTGGCTGTCAAATTTTTCCTCCTTTTTCACAGGTAGTATATAGGTGTATTACATGGTGAAGTTGTATAAACAAGTATCCCTTGTTTAAGGAGGGAAGAGATTACAGGCTTAATGCCCTCTTGTGCCTCCCTAGACAATGGATACTGCGGTACCCTTGGGAAAGACTTGTTGTGTTTATATGTTATTTGCACGGGTGTTGCAGAGGCTAGCAACCCCACTTCATTCGCATGGGCTGCCCACAATGTCTCTGGGACATCTGAGAGGTCCAGGAAGGATGTATGTCTGGAGGCCTCATCAGATTCCTCAGAGTAGTAATGCCATCAAATTTGGAGCCTGATAGGGGGGAAGGTCAACAAATATCCCTTCCTCTCTACAGAGAAGGTTTGCACCCAATTTACACAACAAGTCACGTCCCATAAGGTTTACAGGAGAACAGGGAGATAACAGGAAAGAATGTTCAGCTGACAAGGGTCCAAAGCGGGGTGGGGGTGCAGATGGCACATCTGGGGAATCAAGCTGTTTCTTTAGAGTAGCCAATTCTTGCTGCAGCTTTTCAATAGAATCTTTTTTGCTAGCCATAATGCTCTGATTATATTTTTTTTTTACTGCCACATCCTCCCAGAGGCACCAATATTCCATCTGGTTAGGATGTTTTTCCTCGAGGAAAACTCTAAGATAAGCAAGCTTTTGTAAGTCAAAGTTCTAGTTGTCATTTATTCTGGGAATTCCCCTGAGTATAGCCATTCCAAATGCTCAATAATTCCTTAAGTCTCCTTAGTTTCAAACCTGCAGGCAATACCTAGCTGACTGATCATCTGAGACAAGGGAGTCCCAGGCTGTGAGAAACCTTTCCTCTCAGTAGGAGACAGACTTGAGGGAGCAATCTTATCCATGTTAGCACTGTCTTGTCCAAGGACAGCGCAGGAGCCCAACAGTACTACCCTCTCCAAGGATAGCACAGGCGTCCAGCAACACTACCCTCTCCAAGGATAGTGTGGGAGTCCACACAAACTGTCAGCTTCACTCACACTCCTTATGTGCCGGGGGAAACCGCCCTTGCTTTCAGCAGCTGTGCAGTGACACTGACAGCACTGGTGCGGCTGCGGTCCCCCTCCGGACTTCACTCACTCAAAACCATGCGCTTGGACTCGCCACCAATTAGTCAGCACAACAACAACAACAAAATCCAACCCCTATTTGGCTATACCCAGTGTTTTCGTTTTAAATTTCCCTCAAGCCTCTTAACAAAAAATGTTAAGCAAAAGATGACTCTTACCGTCAGCCGGTCCAGCTGGTGATGAGAACAGGGAGGCGGACTGGGGGATTTTAAATGGATCCCTTACCCTCCAGATGCGCACTGTAGTCCGTTCCCATTCCCCGTCATCAGCCTTTCCAACTGGAGTTCCAAGCCATCCCACTTCTGACACCAAATTGAGGGGGAAATCTCACTCCCCTGGGGTACAGAGCCCCCAGAAGGGTCCGAGGCCGGAGGTCAAATCAAATCAGTGAGGCAGGAGAGAAATCTAGAAGGAAAAACTTTATGATGCATGCATGCAGGCTGTCACTTCCAAGAGTGAAAGCAGCCCTGAGATACAGGTTTAGGTATCCTATATACAGAATGCTTAGACAGTTCAGTTGTTGATTGTTATTCTTTAACATATCAAAGTCTCAGCAGAAGTACTCTGAGACTTCTGTTCACCCCAGGAGTGCTAGAAGTAAGTTTTACAAAACAAAGGCACATGAGAATGTGGAGTGGAGAAGTCTACAAGGCAAACTGTGACAAAGATAAGGGTTTACATGACAAATTGTGACAGACTAGGAGTATCCATGAATTTGAGACAGGCATTTGTAAGGGTCTTTGATTAGAGCTAATTTGATTTCTCTCTGTTACAGGGAGAGAGGCCTGAAAAACTTTTAACCCTTACAGCAGTTTTCTTTTAGAGAGTTTTGAATTCTGCACAGTCCCCCCCTACATTTCAAATGTTATGAGGCCCCATGCAACGCCCCGGGGCAGTTGCTCCTGGTCTACAGCAGAGCGGGCGAAGCACGACTCAGCCCCCCTGATTCATACCTGTATAACACCACTGATTTCAGTAGGGTCGCTCCAGAGTCACACCGCTTTGAAGGAGCAGGAATCGGGCCTGTCAAGCAGCAGCCTGAAGATGGCGCAAGGGTCTCGTGGTATCTTTGGTGGCCCTTAGGAATACCTGTGTACACGTGTCAGCCCCAATTCTCCAGACTGGCTGGGGGACCATGTGATAAGAAGGTTGGGGAGTGGGGAAGGAGAGAAGGTGGCCTGAAAACTCTCTGGAAGCCATCGTAGTCCCTGGTGTAGAGGCGCCTGAAGACTGCTCTAATCTACGCTGGTTGATAGCTGCAGGTGAGGATCCCAGGAGATCCTCTAGCCACGCCCTCTTCCCAGCCACACCCCAGTGCTGGTGACCACACCCCCTGTGTTGGTTGGTGGAAGGGGCATGGGTGGGCGGGCAGCTAAGTCGGAGGAGGGGTATCTAACGACTCTCATCTCAGCCTTGGACAATACTGGACCCTGAAATGACGCGTGTGCAACTCTGGTGTTAGGACACAGGTATAAATAACCCCCCATCCCCAGCCCCCAGGAGCCTGGAGACCTGGGAGCTCTGCTCAGTGACTCTCCTGTTTCACTCCGCCTTGGCCACTTTGTACTTCCTCTTCACCCGGGCGAAGGGCCCCAGCGAGTCGCAGAAGACGAAGTCCCACAGGACGCAGACCCAGGAGGTGTGGTAGGGCAGGTGGTCGTAGTACTCCGACGCGATCTTCTTCACCTGCAAGCGGAGACACACCGGGGTCTGACCGTGAACACACATCCCTGCCCGGGGTTGGTTCTGTGCAGACGCCCAGTTATCCTGCGCGCTGCGGCGCTGCGTTCCGGGCAAACACACAGAGACGCTACCATCCACACTTGGCTGGGAGGCTGCTCTCGACTGCCCCTTTGTTTCTGGGACTCCAAACCACACAAGAACCTCCGAAAAGAGAGAGAGAAAACAGGCTGCTCCCTAAAACCAGAGAGGCACCTGCTGTCCCACCGTGCTCTTTGCAGCCTTGATGATCAGCAGGGTCAGGAAAACCCCTTAATGCAGGGCAGAGAAACTTTTTAGGGCCAGGGGGCCACTGACCCCCAGAAAAATTAGTCGGGAATCTCATGCACCCTAAGAGCCTGGGGGGTGGCTATTAGATTTTGTGCACTCCAGCCCCACAGTGGGGTGACAGAGGGGCTGGAGCATCCGGGGGCTGCAGGGGGAGCTCTGAGCCTGGGGCCTGGATACAGGCAAGCCAGGAGCCGCATCCGGCCCCCAGGCCTGAGTTACCTCACTCCTGCCGTAAACTTACAAGCTGTCACTCTGAGGCTGTGTCTACACTCACGGCTTCTTGCACGAGAAATATGCAAATGAGGCTAAGCATGGACTATCGCCGAGTCTCATTTGCATACCTAATGAGCTGCCATTTTTGCCCCTTCTTGCACAAGAAAAACCCTCTTGCGCAATGCCGCTACGCTGATTATTTTCAGGAAGAACGGCATTGCGCAAGAGGGGTTTTCTTGCACAAGAAGGGGCCGTGTAGACAGCTCCTTCTGGCGCAAGAGCCTCTTTTGCAAAATGGCTGCACATTCGGTATGCAAATGAGGCTCGGCGATATTCCACGTTTAGCCTTTTTGCATATTTCTCGTGCAAGAAGCCGCGAGTGTAGACACAGCCTACGTGTACGTTCCCAACACACTGCATACGGTCGCGTTAAACCTACACAATCCTATACATGGAACAGCTGCGGGATGTAGCCACCACCCTTTTTAAGCATTATTAGAAGCAGGTGGGTTCCTTTATGAACCCCTGAAAGATTGACCTGGCCTGGCTGGGTCCTTAACGCACATACCCCAGCCCTTTGTCTCTGCAGCAGCTTGGGGCCAGCTGAGAAGCGCCTCTCCCTGGCCCGCAGCACACTCAGAAAGAGAAGTAGGTAGCTGCCCCTTTCTCCAGCCCCGCCCCTGCTGGCCCAGTGGGGTGCTAGCTGTCCCAAAGGAGCCCCTGCTTCTCTGCTCTAACCACTAGACCACCCAGCATCCTTGATGTAGGACTCAGGAACCTTTGCTCCAGCCTCTCTCGTGCCCGCTGCAGAGCTGGGAGAAGAACCCAGATGACCTGGCTCCCAGAAGCCTGGACAAACACCCCCACGCCCAGCACCACCTCCCACCCCCATTCCACCCCCCACCCACTGGGATCTTAATCCCCTCGCATCCCCAGTGCCGTCCCTACAGGGGTGCAGCACCCGGGACATCCCCGCTCTGCTCAAGGCCCTGTTCTGGCTCCGCCCCCATGCCAGCCCTTCCCCAAGCCC